AGTCGGTATTATACGTAATCCCGAGATATAAGTCGGGATTATACTTAATCTCGAGATATAAGTCGGGATTACACTTAATCTCGAGATATAAGTCGGGATTATACGTAATCCCGAGATATAATAAGTCGGGATTATACGTAATCTCGAGATGCAAGTGAAGATTATACTTAATCCCGAGATATAAGTCGGGATTATACGTAATCCCGAGATATAAGTCGGGATTATACTTAATCTCGAGATATAAGTCGGGATTATACGTAATCCCGAGATATAAGTCGGGATTATACTTAATCTCGAGATATAAGTCGGGATTATACTTGATCTAGAAATATAAGTCGGGATTATTATACGTAATCTCGAGATGCAAGTGAAGATTATACTTAATCCCGAGATATAAGTCGGGATTATACGTAATCCCGAGATATAAGTCGGGATTATACTTAATCTCGACATATAAGTCGGTATTATACGTAATCCCGAGATATAAGTCGGGATTATACTTAATCTCGAGATATAAGTCGGGATTACACTTAATCTCGAGATATAAGTCGGGATTATACGTAATCCCGAGATATAATAAGTCGGGATTATACGTAATCTCGAGATGCAAGTGAAGATTATACTTAATCCCGAGATATAAGTCGGGATTATACTTGATCTCGAAATATAAGTCGGGATTATACGTAATCCCGAGATATAATAAGTCGGGATTATACGTAATCTCGAGATGCAGGTGAAGATTATACTTAATCCCGAGATATAAGTCGGGATTATACGTAATCCCGAGATATAAGTCAGGATTATACTTAATCCGAGATATAAGTCGGGATTATACTTAATCTCGAGATATAAGTCGGGATTATACTTAATCCCAAGATATAATAAGTCGGGATTATTATACGTAATCTCGAGATGCAAGTGAAGATTATACTTAATCCCGAGATATAAGTCGGGATTATACGTAATCCCGAGATATAAGTCGGGATTATACTTAATCTCGAGATATAAGTCGGGATTATACTTGATCTAGAAATATAAGTCGGGATTATTATACGTAATCTCGAGATGCAAGTGAAGATTATACTTAATCCCGAGATATAAGTCGGGATTATACGTAATCCCGAGATATAAGTCGGGATTATACTTAATCTCGACATATAAGTCGGTATTATACGTAATCCCGAGATATAAGTCGGGATTATACTTAATCTCGAGATATAAGTCGGGATTACACTTAATCTCGAGATATAAGTCGGGATTATACGTAATCCCGAGATATAATAAGTCGGGATTATACGTAATCTCGAGATGCAAGTGAAGATTATACTTAATCCCGAGATATAAGTCGGGATTATACTTGATCTCGAAATATAAGTCGGGATTATACGTAATCCCGAGATATAATAAGTCGGGATTATACGTAATCTCGAGATGCAGGTGAAGATTATACTTAATCCCGAGATATAAGTCGGGATTATACGTAATCCCGAGATATAAGTCAGGATTATACTTAATCTCGAGATATAAGTCGGGATTATACGTAATCCCGAGATATAATAAGTCGGGATTATACGTAATCTCGAGATGCAAGTGAAGATTATACTTAATCCCGAGATATAAGTCGGGATTATACGTAATCCCGAGATATAAGTCGGGATTATACTTAATCTCGAGATATAAGTCGGGATTATACTTGATCTCGAAATATAAGTCGGGATTATACGTAATCCCGAGATATAATAAGTCGGGATTATACGTAATATCGAGATGCAAGTGAAGATTATACTTAATCCCGAGATATAAGTCGGGATTATACGTAATCCCGAGATATAAGTCGGGATTATACTTAATCTCGAGATATAAGTCGGGATTATACTTGATCTCGAAATATAAGTCGGGATTATACGTAATCCCGAGATATAATA